CAGTAAGATTTCACAACATTTCTGTGTAAAGACAAACAAGACAGGGAAGACGCAATGGCCAGCGGGGAAATATTGTATTTACAAAAAAGGAAAGTGTCCTTATGGTAAGAATACGAAAAAGATTTCTACAATTTAATTTCAACATGAGTCTTTAAACAGTCTCTGTGGTCTTATGTGCCCAAGGACACGAAGAGCGGGATTGAGTGAGTGAGAGTGAGTCCTGGCAACGGTTGCTTCTACCTTTAATTTTTTCGTTGCACTATTCCGCAGCAAATTTAGGAGACAAAGGACTGTCTCCATTCTTAACAAATAGGCCAATCCACCTCACCCAATTCCAACCACACTAGAACTGTATTGCTATTGCCCATGTGATGCTGCAGGGTAGGTTGGCTTCTTTTCGAATTTTCCGTTTATACTCCCACATGGAGAGCTTTAGTGAGACTAATATCCTGCGCAAGACCCCAGTCTGTGTATGAACCCGGACCACACAGTCCACAATTCAGGCACCATCCAGTATCTAGCAAGTATTCAGCTGTCATGGTGATCACCTTTATTTGTTTGTCAATCTCTTTCATTTTAAGTGACAGGTTTCTGAACTAGCTAGGTGTAGTTAAGCCCATCGACAACTATAAACATGCAACATTTTTTCTTTTATTCCACGGTGTCAACAAACTCCCAATTAAGGAGCACCTATAATCGTGAAGTGTTAAATAAATTTCCGAAACTCCGCCCAGAAAAAAAGAACCTAGCAAATGGAAGATTACCTATTATTTGACAAACTTCTGAGAATCGATACATATTTTTTTTACTGACAGGATTTCGTGAAGGCTGGATCAAGTGGGACGATGAGGATACGAAAAACGATAACTTTGCCAGCGGTGTCCTACCAGACGGTACTTACAGCAAGGACACTGTTATACATTTCTGCTGTCGGTCAGATGGATCAGCGGAAACACCAATCGAACTTCCCATGCGCGAACCGTTCTTCCTTTTGAAACACTCAAGCAGTTGCCAGGCAGTACTGGGCATGCGTGTTACGGAGGAGTGGATATTCTGGGACTGTGAAGACCGCGAAAACAAAAATTCATTCGATGGAGAAATTCCACAGTCTTTCATAGCAAAGGACATTAGGCTTTACTTTTGCTACTACATCAAAAAGTAACCCTTCGAAATACATTTTGATTACCCCTTTTTTCACTTTTAAGACTACCAAGACCAGTACCACATTCTGATGAAATGCACCGGGTGTCGGTAGAGCAGGCCTAGAACAGCACTTGAGATAACAAAACGTAAAGACAAACTCATCCTTACAGGGATGAAAGGGCGAATACAACGTGAAGAAAAAAAATAATTAAAGCAGTCAATATTTGGGTTGTAAAGCTTATGTTCTCAAACGTAAGGAAACATTACGTTAATGGGGTCCGAATGAGAGTGCTGTCAGTCGTTAATACCGGAAAAAGCCTCGGCAATTTTGTCGGCTCACACGATTTTAGAGTTAGATTTGACTTTAAAGGTCTCGTTTCTCAGCTTTCTCCTATATTTCCTCTCTCTTTCGTGAATTTTCGGTGATGGTCAGCTTTCGTTTAAAATTTCAGCCAATTTTTCAGTTTACACATTTTAGATCTTAGCCATCAGGAACAAAACGCATCTTATCCGTCTCAGCTGACAGCTATAAAACGTTAGAAGGAGCTACCTTGAAGGGTTAGGATGGGGCAGCAGTAGTTTACAGTAGTTTACATTGAAAACAATGGTTGCCAGTTGCCAGTTAAACTCATCCAGATCGTAGACCCTCACAGGTAAAGGTCTTTATATATAGTATATGAGCTAAATGTATACATTTATCAGTAACGTAAGTGATAGATGACGGAACTTGTTATCACCCCTGTAATGTAATATTTCACTGCTATTAACTAAGAAAGCTTTTTGTTACACAAATATCTTAAAGATGTACTATACTGAAATTTAGGTAGAAGTAGAAGAACCTGGTCCTGTTTTGAATTACATTAACTGCTCTTTTTGGTTGGGCTACTTGTTCATCGCAGGTATTCCTCCAACTGTTGTTTTTAGATGCCCCCCCCCCCCCTGCTCCAAACAAACAATCCACTCTTCCAAAACCTAGTTTTATTTTTTAACAAATAGTCAGGAAACCGATGTGTAGTCGGGAATCCCCAGTTATCTGATAGCCGTACATGACATATTTCGCCGGTATACGCATTTTGCTAGTGTGTTCGTAACTGAATTACGCTCAAGAACCTAATCTTCGTTTTGCGAAGGAGTATTTTATTTTAGTCGCATATGTTCCCAAAACCAGGTAGCACTCATATTAGTTACCAGAAATACTCATGAAACAAACTAATGACTTGAACCCGGCGAAAATTTCGCCGAGAAAGTGTTTCGGTCAGAAGCAGCACATCACACACGTCAATGTTTTTGGGCGCAAGGAAAGACTAAATATTGAAAATTTCAAAATGATACACAGCTTTGTTTTGTGTAACGCGAATCTTGAGACATCCATTGTCCTGGTCTCTCAACTTTTTTTTTTTGCAGTGATGATCTCTGGTTCGCGTCCTCTGAAAAATCTACACCTACCTTATCAATAGCATTAAATTAAAACATTCTTATCGAGTCAACCCGTTACGTTGTTTTTTGCTTTCCATTCATCAGTCGTACCTATCATGCAAATCATAATGCATCATGGGTTGGAAACATCTGCACAACTCCCCGAGGAAAGCTCTTTAGAAAGCTCTTACCGCGTCGTAAGTGCAAGAAAAAAAGGTTTTCGTAAAGCAGGACAAGTTTCGTTACATAGGTAAAATGCTCTTATTTATTAAACGAAGCAAAATTTACGCAAACGAAAATTGCTCTTTTTCTTGCAACGAGAAAATATGAATTAAATGTGTCCTCAAGAGAGACTTTTTATTTTCAGTCTTATTCATATGCTATTGTGAAGATACTGCCAAGCTCTAAAGGGATAAAAAATCCCACACGAACGTTAACAGTTAATTTTAACTTACAGTTGACTCGGGACCGCCATGTTGTGTTAGTTCCTCTGTTTGTATCGTTTCGGGATAAAATCCGCTTACCTATGACGATAAATTTTTATAGAAAAATGTTGCCGAGAAGGTTTCTAAGGTTATTTTCTTAAACACTATATAAAAGTTTGGGGATAAACTGCCACGGTTCTCACGGAAATTTTTATTTTCATTATCTTTTTCTGGTCCTTATGAGGTCTAAAGCAATAGCAAGGGACATAATCAAGGAAAAATAAAACAGCGTGCCTCTTTTGTTTCTTGGCAGCATTGTCATTTCTGAAAGCCTACTCAGGAGAAATTTTAAGAAGAAAAGGCGTACATCTGGTGTTTGTTAGGTTAGTTGCTAGAAACGATGTCCAGTTTATTTAAAGTTAACTTGAGCGGCTTCAAACCAAATATAATATTTATATACCTCAAGCTCACTTTATTGACCATGCTGGTACGTAAAACTGTCTTTTTTTCAGTTCAATAGGTTACCAGGCGTCACTGCTTATCTGCTTGGTTGTTATCCAATAGAAATTCCCCTTTTTATTGACAATGCTTCACTAAAAAGCCAGGCTTTTGTTTTGCTTTTTTCAATCCAGAATCTTTTGCAAGAACAGAGTTAAACGAAGGTCGGTTTTAATAATCAAACCGTTTCGTTTCTCTCAACGGAACAAAATTATTGCTTGACAAAGGTGTGAGCAGCTAGGTACAAGCTATAGGTCGGCAAAGATTCGACGAAAATGTTTTCCTTTAATTTTTCCTCAGCTGGGTTTAAAGCTGAACAAACGACTCATTGACAAAGAAACGTAACGAAGAACTGATTGGAATCGAGAATGTAAAGATTTATATGATGATCAACTTCCATCGAGAAGACAAGCTCNAGAGTTAAGCGAAGGTCGGTTTTAATAATCAAACCGTTTTGTTTCTCTCACCGGAACAAAATTATTGCTTGACAAAGGTGTGAGCAGCTAGGTACAAGCTATAGGTTAGCAAAGATTCGACGAAAACGTTTTCCTTTTTTTCTCAGCTGGGTTTAAAGCTGAACAAACGACTCATTGACAAAGAAACGTAACGAAGAACTGATTGGAATCGAGAATGTAAAGATTTATATGATGCCGATCAACTTCCATCGAGAAGACAAGCTCAAAACAGAACAGGTAAGCTTAGGACGGATTTTTCAAACATTGGGCCAAGTGATAATTGCTGCTGAAATTGTATTGAACGGTGTTTGCATATTCTATATATCGCACTATTTGAAGCTGTCAAAAAGCTCATTTTTGTTCTATTTCAATTCTGTTTAGATTGAAACTAAATTAAAATCTCATTTCGTTCCTCGGTAGTAAGTGCAAATCTGCCTCCAACGAGGCGACAGTAAACTGTCTCGTAAACGAAATTTACAGTTAATCTTTCGTTGATGGTGATTTGCGGAAAAACACCATTTCAGGAAACTTTTCATTTCAATAATCCCGATGTTTATCATTCAGATCGGGTTGACTTTAAAAGAATTGAAAACAAGGATATCATTGTTATGTTCTAAAGAGAGTTCGAAACCATAATTGCGTTCTATTTTGGAAAAAGCTGAACAAGTAGGCGGCGGGTTAAGGTAACTATCATTTCCTTGAGGTTTGTAGAAAAAATCTGGTACAAAAAAATCTTTGAAGCGCCAGCGTCGACTTTTCCAAAACTCGCAGTTTTTGACCAGTGAGTGCGAAGGTGATATGTTATTTCATCAAGGTCACTCAAAATTTGTTTTCTTCGTTATTCAATTTCGGGTCTTTTCTTTTGCTCGACTCAGTAAAATCAAGCGCATTTTTTCTAAACAAACAAGAATCTTTGACTGGTTGTAAAACCTTACTTATTTTGATAAATTAAATCAAAACTCAAAATTAAAGAGACTTTGGAACATATTGCTCCCGAAAGCGAAATTATGGTCTTTTAAATGAGCAGCATCTGACCAAAACAGTTTACAACCGATGCAGTGTTTTTTAATTATTGTGCATCGAGGGCTAGATAACATATAATTCACAGCTTTCAAAATTTGCACATTTTGATTTATGGAGGTCTTCTTAGTATCTGTGATGACCATCGACAACAGAAAAAGTGTCCTTTCTGGCTCTCTGTCTTCTCTTTCCTACCAGCAGTGAGCGAAGACTGTTTCGTCTTTTTTTTTCCAAAACCATACACCAAGCTGTGATTACCTTCATTTTATTTTATAATGCCTACAGGTCCAGTACCAAATATAAACCACTTGTTTTTCCCTGATTTATACTGTGGAAATTTAGAATAGGAACTTTACTATTTTTACATATGTTCGATATACTCAGTATCCCAGCAGAAAATCACTATAAAAAGGCATAGGTTATTATAAAGATTTCTTATAAAGAGTTGTCATTGAAAACTGCGAAGAATTGTGTATACAACTATGTTTACATTTTCTTTATTTATTTGTACAGTTGGTAAAAGTCCAATTTGAATTCTGTTTATTTATTCGCCTTTTTTGTATCTGCATGGAAATAAATTTCAAATATCATTAACGAAACGTACGGGTCTGCGGAGCGCGTTTAGCTTCATTTGCGGTGTTTGCATGATGTACGGCGAATGTGTCATGTACCTATTTTGGGAAAACCACATGGCCGCATCAGTTTTAGTAGTTGATAAAGCATCACACGAAATAGGAAATAATCTTTCCATCAAAAGAGCGCCCTTGGACAGCCGTTTATAATGAAATAATTTCACTTTAGTTGACAGATATATATTACAAGTTATTCGTCATCGTGGATCGTCTTTTTCACAATCAGAAGGCTTAGTGCAAAAAATACTAGTTTGGCCCGCATTGGCAATGTTATGAGACACACCGTCGAGTGTAGCAGAAAGCCCTTTTGAAAAGTGTGATAACCTTCTACCGACAAAGAGCAGTATCCAACAGTAACAATGAACATCACAAGTGTATGTTTCAACATCTCCAGCAAAACTGTGAACAGAACAGGAAATGAAAGCGGCAATAAGCAAGAGATCCCATCAGGACAAGGGAACCATCTTCCTCTCGTTCTTCTGGGTGTTCTCTCCTGCCTCATCGTCTCCGCCAACTCACTAGTGATAGCATTGGTATATAAAAATACGCAGCTGCGAACAATAACTAATTTATGTTTGGCATGCCTAGCGCTGTCCGATCTTTTACCAGGCCTTGTTGCCATTCCTTTGATATTTGCCTGTAATCTTTCGCCCATACCAGATGGAATTGCTTCCTGCATCGCTATGGATCTTGCATCACGGTTTATCGCCATTTTGACCATATTGCATCTTCTAATTGTAACATTTGAACGCTATATCATGATCATTTACCCTATGCATTACTACCGGATTGTAACCAAAAATAGAATGGCTGCCTTGATGGTCTTTATTTGGACCTTCTCTCTGGCTGTATCGCTCATACAGCTGATTTGGATCAGTTTTGGGTCCACCCCTGAAACTGCAAACGAACAACACAGTGACGTGATCTACATTTACAGCTGCTTTGTAGGACTCGTGGTGCTTCCTTTAATACTCCTTGCAGTCGCCTACAGTCGCATATTCTTAATTTTGCGAGTTCAACTGAAACGAATACGTCGGCAAGCGACTCATGTAAGAGTCTCAAGGGGAGCCAGGCAAAAACGGGGCCAAAAGCGCGCGGTGATCATTCTCGGGTCCATGATCCTGGCCTTTATTTTGGGTTGGTGCTCGTACTTTCTGAGCTCGATTATCTTGGACGAGAATTTACTAATGCATCTCCCGCAAGCCGTAAATGTCACTCTCCTTTTCCTGAGGTATAGCACATCTCTTTTCAATCCTCTCTTGTACACTTTGTTCAAGGAGGATTTTAGAAACGTTTTACGATCGTACGTTTTTAAAAATCCGCAGAATAGCTTAGACGAAGTTCCTTTAAGCAGCAACGCTTGTTGAGCTGCATGCAGGATTTAAGTAACGTGAAAATCTTCAACATTCATATCCAGCTCGCTAAAGCGCTCCAAACTAAGTGAAATAGGAATACAAGAAATCNCAATGGCCAGCGGGGAAATATTGTATTTACAAAAAAGGAAAGTGTCCTTATGGTAAGAATACGAAAAAGATTTCTACAATTTAATTTCAACATGAGTCTTTAAACAGTCTCTGTGGTCTTATGTGCCCAAGGACACGAAGAGCGGGATTGAGTGAGTGAGAGTGAGTCCTGGCAACGGTTGCTTCTACCTTTAATTTTTTCGTTGCACTATTCCGCAGCAAATTTAGGAGACAAAGGACTGTCTCCATTCTTAACAAATAGGCCAATCCACCTCACCCAATTCCAACCACACTAGAACTGTATTGCTATTGCCCATGTGATGCTGCAGGGTAGGTTGGCTTCTTTTCGAATTTTCCGTTTATACTCCCACATGGAGAGCTTTAGTGAGACTAATATCCTGCGCAAGACCCCAGTCTGTGTATGAACCCGGACCACACAGTCCACAATTCAGGCACCATCCAGTATCTAGCAAGTATTCAGCTGTCATGGTGATCACCTTTATTTGTTTGTCAATCTCTTTCATTTTAAGTGACAGGTTTCTGAACTAGCTAGGTGTAGTTAAGCCCATCGACAACTATAAACATGCAACATTTTTTCTTTTATTCCACGGTGTCAACAAACTCCCAATTAAGGAGCACCTATAATCGTGAAGTGTTAAATAAATTTCCGAAACTCCGCCCAGAAAAAAAGAACCTAGCAAATGGAAGATTACCTATTATTTGACAAACTTCTGAGAATCGATACATATTTTTTTTACTGACAGGATTTCGTGAAGGCTGGATCAAGTGGGACGATGAGGATACGAAAAACGATAACTTTGCCAGCGGTGTCCTACCAGACGGTACTTACAGCAAGGACACTGTTATACATTTCTGCTGTCGGTCAGATGGATCAGCGGAAACACCAATCGAACTTCCCATGCGCGAACCGTTCTTCCTTTTGAAACACTCAAGCAGTTGCCAGGCAGTACTGGGCATGCGTGTTACGGAGGAGTGGATATTCTGGGACTGTGAAGACCGCGAAAACAAAAATTCATTCGATGGAGAAATTCCACAGTCTTTCATAGCAAAGGACATTAGGCTTTACTTTTGCTACTACATCAAAAAGTAACCCTTCGAAATACATTTTGATTACCCCTTTTTTCACTTTTAAGACTACCAAGACCAGTACCACATTCTGATGAAATGCACCGGGTGTCGGTAGAGCAGGCCTAGAACAGCACTTGAGATAACAAAACGTAAAGACAAACTCATCCTTACAGGGATGAAAGGGCGAATACAACGTGAAGAAAAAAAATAATTAAAGCAGTCAATATTTGGGTTGTAAAGCTTATGTTCTCAAACGTAAGGAAACATTACGTTAATGGGGTCCGAATGAGAGTGCTGTCAGTCGTTAATACCGGAAAAAGCCTCGGCAATTTTGTCGGCTCACACGATTTTAGAGTTAGATTTGACTTTAAAGGTCTCGTTTCTCAGCTTTCTCCTATATTTCCTCTCTCTTTCGTGAATTTTCGGTGATGGTCAGCTTTCGTTTAAAATTTCAGCCAATTTTTCAGTTTACACATTTTAGATCTTAGCCATCAGGAACAAAACGCATCTTATCCGTCTCAGCTGACAGCTATAAAACGTTAGAAGGAGCTACCTTGAAGGGTTAGGATGGGGCAGCAGTAGTTTACATTAGTTTACATTGAAAACAATGGTTGCCAGTTGCCAGTTAAACTCATCCAGATCGTAGACCCTCACAGGTAAAGGTCTTTATATATAGTATATGAGCTAAATGTATACATTTATCAGTAACGTAAGTGATAGATGACGGAACTTGTTATCACCCCTGTAATGTAATATTTCACTGCTATTAACTAAGAAAGCTTTTTGTTACACAAATATCTTAAAGATGTACTATACTGAAATTTAGGTAGAAGTAGAAGAACCTGGTCCTGTTTTGAATTACATTAACTGCTCTTTTTGGTTGGGCTACTTGTTCATCGCAGGTATTCCTCCAACTGTTGTTTTTAGATACCCCCCTCCCCCCTGCCCCAAACAAACAATCCACTCTTCCAAAACCTAGCTTTATTTTTCAGCAAATAGTCAGGAAACCGATGTGTAGTCGGGAATCTCCAGTTATCTGATAGCCGTACATGACATATTTCCCGGGTATACGCATTTTGCTAGTGTGTTTGTAACTGAATTACGCTCAAGAACGTTTAGGACCTAATCTTCATTTTGCGAAGGAGTATTTTATTTTAGTCGCATATGTTCCCAAAACCAGGAAGCACTCATATTAGTTGCCAGAAATACTCATGAAACAAACTAATGACTTGAACCCGGCGAAAATTTCGCCGAGAAAGTGTTTCGGTCAGAAGCAGCACATCACACACGTCAATGTTTTTGGGCGCAAGGAAAGACTAAATATTGAAAATTTCAAAATGATACACAGCTTCTTATTGTGTAACGCGAATCTTGAGACATCCATTGCCCTGATCTCTCAACTTTTTTTTTTCCAGTGATGATCTCTTGTTCCCGTCTTCTGAAAAATCTACACCTACCTTATCAATAGCATTAATGTAAAACATTCTTATCGAGTCAACCCGTTGCGTTGTTTTTTTTGCTTTCCATTCATCAGTCGTACCTATCATGCAAATCATGATACACCATGGGTTGGAAACATCTGCCCAACTCCCCGAGGAAAGCTCTTTAGAAAAACTCTTAACAAGTCGTAAGTGCAAGAAAAAAAGGTTTGCGTAAAGCAGGACAAGTTTCGTTCGTATGTACATAGGTAAAATGCTCTTACTTACCAAACGAAGGAAAATTTACACAAACGAAAATGGCTCTTTTTCTCACAACGAGAAAATATGAATTAAATGTCTCCTCAAGAGATACTTTCTATTTTCAGTCTTATTCATATGCTATTGTGAAGATACTGCCAAGCTCTACAGGGGTAAAAAATCCCAAACGAACAGTTAATTTAACTTACAGTTGACTCGAGACCGCCATGTCGTTTTAGTTCCTCTGTTTGTATCTTTTCGGGATAAAATCCGCTTACCAATTACAATAAATTTTTATAGAAAAAGGCTGCCGAGAAGGTTTCTAAGGTTTTTTCTTCAACATTATATAAAAGTTTAGGGATAAATTGCCACGGTTCTAACCGAAATTTTTATTTTCATTATCTTTTTCTCGTCCTTATGAGGTCTAAAGCAATAGCAAGGGACATAATCAAGGAAAAATAAAACATCGTGCCTCTTTTGTCTCTTGACATCATCGTCATTTCTGAAAACCTACTCAGGAGAAATTTTTAGTACAAAAGGTGTACATCTGGTGTTTGTTAGGTTAGTTGCTAGAAACGATGTCCAGTTTATTTAAAGTTAACTTAAGCGGCTTCGAACCAAATATGATATTTATAAACCTCAAGCTCACTTTATTGACCATGCTGGTACGTAAAACTGTCTTTTTTTTCAGTTCAATAGGTTACCAGGAGTCACTGCTTATCTGCTTGGTTGTTATCCAATAGAAAATGCCCATTTTATTGACAATGCTTCACTAAAAAGCCAGGCTTTTGTTTTGCTTTTTTCAATCCAGAATCTTTTGCAAGAAAAGAGTTAAGCGAAGGTCGGTTTTAATAATCAAACCGTTTTGTTTCTCTCACCGGAACAAAATTATTGCTTGACAAAGGTGTGAGCAGCTAGGTACAAGCTATAGGTTAGCAAAGATTCGACGAAAACGTTTTCCTTTTTTTCTCAGCTGGGTTTAAAGCTGAACAAACGACTCATTGACAAAGAAACGTAACGAAGAACTGATTGGAATCGAGAATGTAAAGATTTATATGATGCCGATCAACTTCCATCGAGAAGACAAGCTCAAAACAGAACAGGTAAGCTTAGGACGGATTTTTCAAACATTGGGCCAAGTGATAATTGCTGCTGAAATTGTATTGAACGGTGTTTGCATATTCTATATATCGCACTATTTGAAGCTGTCAAAAAGCTCATTTTTGTTCTATTTCAATTCTGTTTAGATTGAAACTAAATTAAAATCTCATTTCGTTCCTCGGTAGTAAGTGCAAATCTGCCTCCAACGAGGCGACAGTAAACTGTCTCGTAAACGAAATTTACAGTTAATCTTTCGTTGATGGTGATTTGCGGAAAAACACCATTTCAGGAAACTTTTCATTTCAATAATCCCGATGTTTATCATTCAGATCGGGTTGACTTTAAAAGAATTGAAAACAAGGATACCATTGTTATGTTCTAAAGAGAGTTCGAAACCATAATTGCGTTCTATTTTGGTAAAAGCTGAACAAGTAGGCGGCGTGTTAAGGTAACTATCATTTCCTTGAGGTTTGTAGAAAAAAAAAATGGGACAAAAAAAAAAAAGTCTTTGAAGCGCTAGCGTCGACTTTTCCAAAACTCGCAGTTTTTGACCAGTGAGTGCGAAGGTGATATGTTATTTCATCAAGGTCACTCAAAATTTGTTTTCTTCGTTATTCAATTTCGGGTCTTTTCTTTTGCTCGACTCAGTAAAATCAAGCGCATTTTTTCTAAACAAACAAGAATCTTTGACTGGATGTATAACCTTACTTATAAATTAAACCAAAAATCAAAGTTAAAGAGACTTTGGAACATATTGCTCCTGAAAGCGAAATTATGGTCTTTTACAGAGGGGAAAAACGCGAGAAATTCCAGTTGAAAATGAGCAGCATCTGACCAAAACAGTTTACAACCGATGCAGTATTTTTTTAATTATTGCGCATCGAGGACTAGATAACATATAATTCACAGTTTTCAAAATTTGCACATTTTGATTAATAGAGGTCTTCTTAGTATCTACGATGACCATCGATAACAGACAAAGTGTCCTTTCTGGCTCTCTGTCTTCTCTTTCCTACCAACAGCGAGCGAAGACTGTTTCGTTTTTTTTTTCCAGAACCATACACCAAGCTATGATAATCTTCATTTTATTCTATAATGCCTACAGGCTCAGTACCAAATATAAACCACTTGTTTTTCCCTGATTTATACCGTGGAAATTTAGAATAGGAACTCTACTATCTTTACATATGTTCGATATACTCAGTATCCCAGCAGAAAATCACTATAAAAAAGCATAGGTTATTATAAAGATTTCTTATAAAGAGTTGTCATTGAAAACTGCGAAGAATTATGTATACAACTATGTTTACATTTTCTTTATTTATTTGTACAGTTGGTGAAAGTCCGATTTGAATTCTGTTTATTTATTCGCCTTTTTTGTATCTGTTTAGAAATAAATTTCAAATATCATTCTGTTTATTTAACGAAACGTACGGGTCTGCGGTGCGCGTTTAGCTTCATTTGCGATGTTTGTATGACGTACGGCGAATGTGTCATGTACCTATTTTGGGAAAACCACATGGCCGCATCAGTTTTAGTAGTTAATAAAGCCTCACACGAAATAGGAAATAATCTTTCCATCAAAAGAGCGCCCCTGGACAGCCGTGTATAATGAAATAATTTCACTTTAGTTGACAGATATATATTACAAGTTGTTCGTCATCGTGGATCGTCTTTTTCAAAATCAGAAGGCTGAGTTCAAAGAATACTAGTTTGGCCCGCATTGGCAATGTTATGAGACACACCGTCGAGTGCAGCAGAAAGCCCTTTTGAAAAGTTTGATAACCTTCTACCGACAAAGAGCAGTATCCAACAGTAACAATGAACATCACAAGTGTATGTTTCAACATCTCCAGCAAAACTGTGAACAGAACAGGAAATGAAAGCGGCAATAAGCAAGAGATCCCATCAGGACAAGGGAACCATCTTCCTCTCGTTCTTCTGGGTGTTCTCTCCTGCCTCATCGTCTCCGCCAACTCGCTAGTGATAGCATTGGTATACAAAAATACGCAGCTGCGAACAATAACTAATTTATGTTTGGCATGCCTAGCGCTGTCCGATCTTTTATCAGGCCTTGTAGCCATTCCTTTGATATTTGCCTGCAATCTTTCGCCCATGCCAGATGGAATTGCTTCCTGCATCGCCATGGATCTTGCATCACGCTTTATCGCCATTTCGACCATATTGCATCTTCTAATTGTCACATTTGAACGCTATGTCATGATCATTTACCCCATGCATTACTACCGGATTGTGACCAAAAATAGAATGGCGGCCTCGATGGTCTTTATTTGGACCTTCTCTCTGGCTGTATCGCTCATACAGCTGATTTGGATTAGTTTTGGGTCCACCCCTGAAACTGCAAACGAACAACACAGTGACGTGATCTACATTTACAGCTGCTTTGTAGGACTCGTGGTGCTTCCTTTAATACTCCTTGCAGTCGCCTACAGTCGCATATTCTTAATTTTGCGAGTTCAACTGAAACGAATACGTCGGCAAGCGACTCATGTAAGAGTCTCAAGGGGAGCCAGGCAAAAACGGGGCCAAAAGCGCGCGGTGATCATTCTCGGGTCCATGATCCTGGCCTTTATTTTGGGTTGGTGCTCGTACTTTCTGAGCTCGATTATCTTGGACGAGAATTTACTAATGCATCTCCCGCAAGCCGTAAATGTCACTCTCCTTTTCCTGAGGTATAGCACATCTCTTTTCAATCCTCTCTTGTACACTTTGTTCAAGGAGGATTTTAGAAACGTTTTACGATCGTACGTTTTTAAAAATCCGCAGAATAGCTTAGACGAAGTTCCTTTAAGCAGCAACGCTTGTTGAGCTGCATGCAGGATTTAAGTAACGTGAAAATCTTCAACATTCATATCCAGCTCGCTAAAGCGCTCCAAACTAAGTGAAATAGGAATACAAGAAATC